GTCGACAATGCTGGAGCCATCGAGCGGATCAAAAGCAACACTAAATCCACCTGCTCGTATTGCAAAATTCGATAATTAGGCTAACCCTTTTGATCATCTCATCCTCCGTGACAAGAAATAAACAAATTTTAAGATCGGAGAGCAATTCAAGATAGGACTTGCTGACCTTCAACTGGGCCTCCCATGTCTTGGAGTTCTGGAACCTCTTCAGAGCAAGCGTATTTGCAGACGTGCGAGTAACTTAAGGCCTAAGGCATCAAATGTAACAGGCATTAATTTCATTGCTGATCCTGAAAATATACAAGTCCTGTATTCTGATACATTTGCGGAAGAATGACTTTCAAATTTCATCCGGACATTCAAGCACAACTGAAACTTATCTTTCCGTTACCTCAAACAAAAGCTTGTCAGCAAGCATATCCACGGCGAGCTGCTCATCCCCGAAAGAATTAATGCAGGCTGTTCCTCCACAAGAAGCTGTTCTGACCTTGAAGGATATAGTCCTCAATGCTTCTCCCATGCTTAACAGCAACCTGATCAGTCCCTTATCCGGGGTTGCCTTTGCAAGAAACTCCTCCTACAGTGGCAATAAATATTTTCACAAAATTTACATTTTCAATGTTGCTTAGACGAACTTTCATTTTCCAAACTATTGTTACGTTGAACAAAAGTTGTTCTTTTGTGTAACTCACCAGGCTATCGCCGATCTCACACTTGGTCACATGGGAGGGCTGTTTTGTTCTAGAAAACTTGAGCGATGATCGTGGAACTTGTCGTAGTGATTCTCCGAAGAGGGAGCTTGATTTTAGGCCCTGCAGTCGCAAGGAAGCTCCAATTACACCATGTGATGATACTCGCAATAAGTTTTATGTGATGACTCATGCATAAAATTGAAATGAAATACTAATAACCTTGGAGCTGAAAGATGGAGCCACAACTGAAGTGGAATGCTGGTGAGTTGAAACGCCGGTAGCCGGCAGGAGCGCCCTGGCGGATGAGCAGCAAGCTATGGTGGCCTCCATGCTTTTGGAAAATACTACTCCAGAGATTGATATTCTGATCAACAATTTTCAGTTGTATACTTTGTCTTGTTGGGGGATACAAGATAAGGCGGGAAACGGCGTTTCGACACGTGGAGGCCGACGAGTAGATGTGCTGACAAAGTGTTCTGTGGCTTTGCTATCTGCCCTGCTCCTCCCAAGAGATATCGTAACCCACTGTTTGTAAGTTTGTGTGTGCCCAACCGCCTTCGGTTCTGCTTACGTATTATTCCCGGTCGTTTGTATTGACCAAGGGACCTTTAGGCCTCAATTGGTATTGAGGATTGAATGTAAAAGGATAGTCCTCGAAATTAGGTATTTTTGAAAGTAGAGAAGAACAATGTCTCATTTAAAATAGATTAGAAGACGATTAGATATTAAGAAAATTTATTCGTGTGAAACCTTTCATTTTGAGAGAATTGATATGGATAACTTTTTTGTTTTCACAAAAGATAGAATAAATCTATACTAAGTTCATCTAAATTACGAGAGAAAATTTGACCACGCTTGAATGCAAGGACGAAAACTCTTAACCACGTAAACTACAAATCACTTTCAAATGGATAACTTTTCTTCTTGAGTTATCTATCTCCTACCTTCAAAATTTAAGTGCTCACAGGAAAAGTGCTTATTGTGGCTGATAAGAGAATCAAATATTACATGGCTCAATTTTTTGGTAGCCTGTCGAATCGCGACAAATGTCAAGACGAGAATATTATATATAGTTCATTCTGATCTGTATAATATAATACTGGATGATGCTGTAGGGATGGCTGGACACGTCTGACAGTTGGCATTAATACAATAATGCTTCATAGCCAATTGGTTTTCCAAATTGCAATAGCAAATACAAATGCATCTTTTTAATGATAATTATGGAACTAAAACCATTAATTAAGATTAATTAATTTAAGAGTCGGTTTGGTAGCAAATTCTACTTAACTGGCCCACAACCTCAGAAGATTATGATTTCTCAAACCATCCTCGCCAACAAAAGTCATATATAGTAAAACACAAAATATAACTTTTTCATTATTCAATTCAAGGATTTAGACTTGCCATTTAACATTACATTCTCGTAATATTTTTCTTTATTTGTAAATAAGAAATCTTATACTCAAAACATAATTTTTTTCATTTTTCCTAAGAAGGGAACCAGTTGGTGGCTTTGGCGTGGCAGTCCACCGTTCCAGAGCCCGAGAGGACTCAAAACTCAAATTTGAATTCTAACATTTGAATGGTGGTATATATCAAATATGAGAAGATAAGATCTAGTCAACTATAATTAGGTAACAAACTCACCACATATGAGAATGGAACATGAGATCTCCCACTAACAAAGTAACAAGTAAATGAAATATATATATATATATACACACACACTAGACCGTGGTGTTTGTGGCAAAAGTGTCAATGATTAGAAAAACTACACTAATTAAATTCGGTCTAATATTATCATTTTCACTTGCAACTTATACGATGAGTTTGAATTCGATAGCAAATTATAATTGATCTTACAGCACAAAAGTGTACCTAGTGGAGTGTTTCTTTGTATGACAAGTAGCCTCTGGTTCATGGGACCTGTAAAGTAAAATCATAATGATTGCTAATTTTAAGAAGGGAAACTTCTTCAAGTCTCTCTCCCCCATCTCCAGGAACACGACAGAGAAAGAGAGAGCTGCCTTGTCACACAATCTCTCCAATCCAATGTTTCTCTCTCTCAATTATTCTATATCTCTCTCTCTCCCCCCTGTAGCTTCAGTTATTTAGTTAAATATGAAAATAATATTGTGGAAAATAATGAAAATAATATTGGATTGGTCAAATGATCTGCAAATCGGCAGATGGTCTTTCTTGTCCCAACTCCCGACGCAACTCATGCTTTTTTATATATATTTATTAATGTATTTTTTCATGAAATTGATGTTGTTATTGGATTTGGTCTAACTGGATATAGTTGAATGGTGGATTCCGGAATATGATGAGATTCAACTGAACAATGAACAAGCTGCTGGCTCTAAGGGGTGCATCTGAAAAACTGTAAGTATCAGATTCAGAGAATGAGGTTTCTTTTGTAAATTTATCGTTTTTCGCGGTGATTTCCTCGAATAATTTGAGAATCTGAGAAGTGGTTATGGTGGCTGTTGCGTTGTCATGATGTTTAATGTCACTTTTGTAGGTTGCAGGTGATCCTTCTGTGAACAGGAAGGGACCTGGAGTTGTTCTGCAGAATAATTGAGCTGGTGATTTGTCTTGGATTTTAACCATGTCTGCCTATGGACGTCATATGGAGCGCGAGTACTCCGCCCAGAGTCTTTCGGGTGGAGGTTCAGGTATGTGATAACATTCTTCAGATAGTAGGAAGCGTTTCTGCTCATAAGCGTTTTTTTACAAGTGCTTTTGTTAGGTGGTAGGCCAGTGAAATGTTAATACCTTTAGGCCTCGTTTGGTGTTTAAGATCTATAGATTTGGTGTATGTTGAAGGAAGAAACGTATGACATACGAGTTATTCAATCCAACCCTAGGCACCAAACAAGCCCCGAGGCCTTCGTTCATATAATCAGAAGCATGTTGAGCTTTTAATTAATCAACTATTGATTTTGTTCAATTTCATGGACACAGAGAGGGCAAGCAGTTATGCCATGGAGACGGGGTTCTACATGTCGTCTTTTGCTACGGCAATCTTCATTGGTGCACTCGTAACTGTTGGGGTCTTATTGATCACCTTGCTGATTGCACTGACTGTAATGCTGCAGTCTTGCGAAAGTAAGAGTCATGGAGTCGTTGAGACTCAGAAACTGAGTTTCGATTACAATCACTGCCAGATCTTCTCTCTGCATATGGAACTCAACGCCGTTGAAGCAGATCGCTTCCCTTCAATATGCAGGGTTGTTGCCCTTCAGTACATTAAAGAAGGTCAATACGCAAGAGACTTGAATTCTACCGTGTCGATGATTCAGGATTATTTCAGCGGCATTTCCCCAACACACGATGGTCCGGACGTGGTCTTGATCGACATAGATGACATTCTTTCTTCAAATCGTAGACTGCACCGGTAATTTAATCTCCTTTTAGTCCTTGAAGCATTTGTTCTTACATAGTTCCGTCTTTCGAGCTATCCATTTCCTTGTGCACAGATATGATCAGTATGGTGGTAGTGATTTTGTGGAAGAGGCAAAGCATCTGAAGCAGATGTTTATTCTGAGATTATATATGGAACTTCATGCTGGTGGTTGGCCCTTGATTCTGCTCTCAAGAAAACCGGAGGCAGAGCGAAATTCTTCCACAGAGGATCTTATATCTGCAGGATATAGAGCTTGGTCTTCATTGATTATGAGGTATTTGTTACCATGCAAATGCCCCTTTCTTTCTGTAGTCTTTTGGGTAAAATTAGTTGGAGGTTTCTGAGTTCTGATTGATCGTTCTGTTTTCGGCAGATCGGAAGATGAATTGCGTATGGAGAGCCATGACTACTTCTCGAAACGAAGGGATGCGATGCAGAGAGAAGGCTTCCGCGTCATAGCCTCCATAAGCAGTCATATGGATGCTCTAAGAAGTCCATTTTCAGGCGAGCGGATTTTCAAGCTTCCTAACCCAATTTATTACAATTTTTCACATCAAATTGAGGACATACATACAGACGTGGGCGTCGCCACATTTGCTAAAGTAAATGTGCTCTCCCGTATATACCCGAGTTTAAATTCCTTTGCCGTTTAGACTAGTTTAAGTAGAATATCGCTTGTACACGTACACCAAAATAGATGTTTTTCCATGTTGGCACCATAGATATTTGCAGTCCATACAGATTTTCAGGAGATTTCTGATCTGAACTCTCCGCAGCCATGTAAATAGCCTCAGTTCTGCTCTGAGTATTCTCTTGTAAAAAAGTTTCAGTATAATTATTGATAATCGCTCTTCATGTGTTGCTTAAGTTTGCCTAAATATGTGCACTTAATTGAGTGACGATGAAAAGAAAAAAATCAACTACTTTTCAAAGAACAAGTGAAATCCAAGAGACAAGAAACATCCTAGAACAAAGGCGGGCCGACGGATTGCAGCCGCTGCAACCAAGCAATTCTTACACTAGGCCTTTTCAGTTGAAGAAATATTTCCCTGTATTCCTTTTTCAGGAATACATCTAATGCAAACAAATAGAGATCACTTCCTTGTTCTACTTCCTCCATGGCATCAAGACAGTTGATGCACTCCCCGATGCTATAAGTGGGTTTGCCTTGTGCAAGAGCAAATGTTACGGCATCCAGTTGCTCAACATTGTTCTCCTCTTGATTCGCTATGCCTCCATCTTCTTCTATATGCAAAACGGATGTACTCAAGTTATCGTTGTACTTCCTACGCTTAGCATGAGGCTCTGTCTCTCCGGTATCTATTGTTCCATCAAATATGATTTCCAGTTTGTCGGCGCATTGAGGTTCCTTAAAGCGGAATGAAGCAGCTTCGGGGTCAGTCTGTAACAAAACAAAACCAGCATGATTTAAGAACCTGAAATCATTCATAATCTTCCTAGTTTCCAACTTTGTAGAAATAGTTACTGGCAGTTGTATACCATACCTCTAAGTAACTGGCCCAATCTTCATCATTTGCTCCAAATCGTCTGGTGTTCGGATTCCAACCCATACTAGTTGTGCCAATTAGCTTACACCAGTTTCTCCATTGTTCCTTGGTGACATCCCAATGATTCTTCAACTGCAACCTGTCATACATAAGGCCAGTTTTTTGGTTAAATGATTCAACAATAGTCCTCCAAGCGTCCCTGGTAAAATGTGTCCCAGGTTTGTTCCCTTTCAATGTCTCTTCTAGACATAGATCAATAAATACACCGTGGGATGCAGGCGACCAAATGGCCTTTGCCTTTGAATGGGATGAGCTAGATATGCTCTGCTCACTTGCTGTTGTTAGACGGTGTTCAGATTGAGCCACATAACTCCTTAATGGAACAGCATTTGAAATATGCTCCTCTCCCAGCTCCACAGTCACCAAATCTTGTTCTTCTGAGTGCAGATAGGAGTTGTCTGAGCTATTGCTTTGCCTCCTCTGAGAATCACAAGGTTCCATGTCCCCAGAATCCGTAGTGCCAACAAAAAGGATTTCCAATAGGTCAGGGCACGGGATTTCCTTATGCTGAAACTGTGCAGCTTCAGGGTTCACCTGAGACAAAGCACTCGCAATTACAAATCTGAAATCACGAAAAACCTCTATAGCATCGTTCTTCGAATGCATAACATTAGCATTACCTGTATGTAGTTAGCCCATTCTTCTGCACTAGCACCAAATTGATTGGTCGTAGGATCCCACTTCATACTACTCTCGGCGATGAGCTTAACCCAAACTTTCCATTGCTTCTTGGTGAAATCCCAATGATTTTTCATTTGCTTCTTGGTGTACCTTAAACCCGTCTGCTCGTAGAACCCTTGGATGAGATTCCTCCAACCCTCCTTAGTAAAGTGTGTACCCGGCTTATTCCCTTTGTCCATCTCTTCTAGACAAAGATCAAAGAATACCTTCCGGTGCCCCGGAGTCCAGGTAGCTTTTGATCTTGTTGAGCTATACATCCTTTATCAATTCCAATTTCTCTGACATTTTTCATAGGCATGAACACGATACAATGCGAAGTTCGTTACCTCAAAACAAAAAGTTAAAAACCCAATGTATTTAACATGAAAAAAAGGAACTTGTATGGAAGTGTTTTTAAAATGACTGAAAGCATTTTGATGAAAGTGTTTTTGGGGTTCCAAAGACACTAAGTTATGTGCTTCTTGCATGAAGCAAGATTCACTTGCATTTTCATTACGGATTGATTCCAAAAGCGTTTGCAGTTATTTTAAAAGCGCTTTCAGATGAGCTGGATAATTTGGGCAAACTTCAACATCAAAGCAGCATTGTAATTATGAAAAACCCCATCAATTTTCTTCAAATCATTTTGCAGTCCAAATAAAGAGCAACCTTTTTTTGCCAAAAACTACATAATTTGCAGTTGATTTATTGTTGATAACCTTAATGAGTATAAGGATTGAGTATAAGGATTAGTTTCATAATTCAAGTCTCCAACTTTATATAGTTAAATGCAAAAAATAAGCAGAAAACAAATAAATAAAAACCCATATGATGCAATTAGAGTGTTCATACAGAAAAGCTTAATTGAAGTGACAAAATTGGCATTTGAAACAATCTCCGTGAATCTACAATGCGCTAGCGATTGCATGCTAAAACAAAATAATAAAAAATTGCAACGAAATAGAAAGAGGGCCGGAATTCATACCTGGGATTTAAAGAGGGCCGGAATTCCTTTTTTTTGCAGTTTTACACCATACCCTTTACCCTTTACCTTCCACAAGAAGAAGACGACGACGACGAAAAAGCAGAAGACTCTCTCTCTCTTTCTCTCTCTCTCTCTCTCTCTGAGTGTTTCTGAAACGTGAAAACGACGGCGCACAATCCGAATTTTTATTATTCTTTTTGGGTTTTGTAATAGGTCCACCATGCCCATTTCTGATAGCCTTTCTTTTTTTTTTTTTTTTTTTTTTTTTTTTTTAGCTCTCGAAATGATATTATCATCTTCTTTGGATTTTTAGAGGTCCAATTTGTTCACCTTTTCTAATATTTTAAAGGTGAAATTAGCTTTATTTTCTTGATTTGGGTTGGGTGTGGATTAGGTTTAACAATTCGAAATTTATATTTATAATGTATTGGACCTAATGTAATCATTAATTTAAAACATCATTTTCGTTTTCAATTATATTGTACTAACAAAATGATAACTCCAGTTTCCAAACAAAAAAACAAAATGATAATTCTATTCATTTCTACTAATTAATAAAACTTTATTTGTCAACCAAAAAAATGATGAAAAAACAAATTAGTCTTCTATCGCACAAAAAAAAAATGATGGGCAATAATGTAATTTCACATATTCAAATTTTACTATTTTTTATTAAAGTCTCACATACAAGTGATGTTAAAATACCTCTAATATTTATAAAAAATAAAAAAAAAACCAAAAACAAAAACCTTCCACTCATCTCATGTTCTCTCTCTCTCTCTCCCTCTCCCTCTCTCGTTCTCATTTTCTAAAAAAATGTGTTCATACACACAAAGTGTGTAGGCAAATGCTAGTTTTTATGAATAAAATCAGTTATTGTATTATCGTGTCATTATTTTTATATTCTTTTGCGTCTTATTGGTTTTTATTAGTCTCTCGCACTTTTTATTTTTTACATCGAATTGAATAAATTAAGCGAAAACAATACTCATGATTACATAAGAGTGTGTAGAGGTAGAAAATGGTGTGTGTTTATTATTTTTCAAAGTGTGTTGACATGAACGACTTTCATGTAAATGAATAATCCCGAACACAACCCATGAGACCCTTACTATGGAATTACGGGATCAAAACTGAACAAATTAGGGTCACAACTTATCCCTAATTAAGCTTGTGTGAGAAAATTTATTTGGGAGTTATGAACACAAAAAATTTCAGTGATAAACGAAATTAATTTTGGTCAGTAAAAAGAAATTCCTACCACTTCAACTACCACATTGGGCGGTAAAAATGTATGCTTCCTCTACTTCTACTTCCTAATTAGGCAGTAAAAAGGTAAACTTTACGGGATGCTATTCGTCAATTCATTTACCTGCAGAACTTAAGACACCCAAATTCCCAATCCAATTCAACATGCAGAAACTAATTGAATCTGCAGAATCCAATCATCTCAAAAGAACAACAAATCATCAATTAAACATTGCAGCCAACCAAGATGCTAACTTTCAATTTTCAGATTAAAAATTCAGACCATCCAAACATCCAAGCAAATGAAATTAAGCCACGAACCACGTAATTTCACATCAATTTTCAATTGGCTTCATCAATTTTCAATTGGCTTCATCCAAACATCCAATAAAATCTGTTCATCCCAAGAAGAGTGTTAGTTCAATTGGCTTCATCACAACCACCATTTCCTATATAAAGTACCCTAAAAACAGAGTACAAAAACAGTAATTCCTTTGAGCAGCGATCCAAACTGAACAAATTGAATCCCCAAGACCATCTCCAAGAATCAAAATTACCAGTTAAGTAATCAACAGCAGTTTCTTCATATACCCAATTAAGTAATTAGCAACACCACCTCCATGAATCGAAAACTGTGCCAGTCACCTGCTAATCAAAGCAAGTAATTGAACCCAATTCACAGTCCACTGTGCTAATCAAACATCTCTAAGAACCTTCCAAGAATCAACAAATCGAGCTACCCAGTAATGAAATTAAGCAACTGAATCGGAAAAGCAACATTACCAGGCAAGTAATGCAAACACCAAGAGTTGCCCAACCGCCATGATCAAGATATCCAAGAAACCTCCGCAATCGGACCCAGAATACTGAATCTCCTTGTACTTGCTGGTCAAATTTGGGTAAAGAATCCCCCAATTGCGCCCCTGCTTCACTTGCTTGTCGAGCAGCTCGTAAATGTACGTCTCGGCAACCCCTTCTTTCCTCAGCGGCGTTCCCTTTCCGGACCTCAAATGACACAAAAGCCCCTTGATGTACATCTCGGCGTAAACCGGGTTGGCGTCGATTTCGGCCGGGTCGGTGCTGAAGCTGGGCCACCCAGTCTCGGTCACAATCACCGGAATGTTCTCGTATCCTGCGACAGCCATGGCGCTGATGACGGCGTCGACCATCATGTCGAAGAGGTTCCGGTACCGGACGCCGGTGGTGAGGTCGTCTCGGAATCCGAATGGGTGCTCCTGAAACAGGGGAAACCCGATCGGGATCTCGCTGCGCATCTTGTAGAGGTTGTAGGGGTAGAGGTTGATCAAGAACGAGGAATTGGTGTCGCGGAGGAACTGGAGGAGGGGCCTGATGACGGTGTCGACGGCCGGTTCTTGGAACTGGGCATTGGAAGGCGGGAACGCCGTGGTGATGACGTTGATGAAGGAGAAGGTGGTGGAGACGGAGATCTTATGGATGCCGAGGTCTTTGAGGGAGAGTTGAACGTTGCGGATGGCGGGAAGGAGGAAGGTGGAGAAGTTCGGGGAGGACTCGAGGAGGTCGTTGCCGACGGAGATTGTGGAAATTTTGGTGCGGGGGTAGAAGGGGATGACGTGGATGTAGAGCCAGCGGAGGGCGTTGGAGCGGTTTTCTGCGAGGGGTGGGACGAGCTGGTTGGGGATGGTGAGGAGGAGGGAGGTGTTGGAGTAGAGGAAGGCGCGGACCATGGCGGGGTCGGAGGCGTCGAGTCGTAGCGCGGAGAGGCCGAGGGAGGAGATGGCGTGGGCAACGCGGTCGACGGCGGGAGGGGTGGCGTAGGTTGCGGCGGTGCTGAAGGAGTAGGTGGAACCGACGGTGGTGGAAAGCGAGGTGCTTCCGGGGAGGAGAGAGAGGGTGAAGAGGATGGCGGCGATGGAGAGAAAGAAGCACGCCGCCATGGCTTCTTGGGGCTTTCTTTGGAGGGAGTTTTCGTGGGGTTTGAAAATGAAGAGAGAGAGAGAGAGAGAGAGAGAGAGAGAGAGAGAGAGAGAGGGAGGGAGGGAGTGAGGAAGGCGTGATGTGGAAGCCGGTGGTTGTTAGTTTGTTAGAGCTGTTCGAGCAGAGGAGTTTTGGCGCGGGAACTGGAGTTTGAGGTGGGTGCGTAGTGCGCACCGGGTATTGTTTAGTTGAGAGTTGGCTGTTAGCCGGATAGTGTCACGCTCACACGTAATTCGGGCAGCTATATGCTACTGGGCTTATTTTAAACGCTCAGCCCAAGCCCAGTATCAAAAAACATTGATTTAATTCCTAAAACACTTATTAAAAACATATTTTCAAGTCAAATTATTTTCTATGTATATTTGAACCTTAATTTCTTCAAAATCTATTGCATTTTGTCCACCTTCTGTTTAGCTTACATAAATTACTTACGTCATGATTCAGGTGAAGTGGGAAAACGGTATGAACAGGCCCGGCCCAGATCCAATGTTAGCAGGACAATCGTTTGGGGCTTAAAAAAATTGGGAGCACCAAAATTATTAGGACGGTATATTTATATATGTTTTTATAAGAGTATAAATTTATAAAATTTCGTTTAGTGAAATTTATAAAATTTCGTTTAGTGACAAAGAAATTTAATTATAATTTGTGGTTTTGTTGTTTAAACTTAATGGGAAGGTCTTAGATTCAAAACATCATGTGTGCTTATTTACATTCCAATTTTTACAAATTTCTTTTCATAACAGTATAAATTTATAAAATTTAGCTAAAAGATCAAGAAGTTTAAATTAAAAGCAATGGTTTTTGTTGTTGAAAATTAACGAGAGGTTCTGAGTTCAAAATGCTATGTGCATGTTTATTTTTTTCAATTTTTACAAATTTTTGTTTGGTTGTTAATTTATTTACTAGCTAGTAGCTATGTGGGTTGCTATTTTTAAATATCCGTTCCAATTCAAGTCTAATCCTCAACAAAGAGTAACGCGTAGACTAAATTTGCAGAGAATATTACGTGTCATCAAAATGTTTAATTTAGTGTTCATTCATTACTTATTCATATCCTTAACCACTCGAAAAAAATTTTATTTTTTTAATCTTATATTGACGAGGTTAGTAAATAATAAAAAATACCTCACGATTTATACAAAAACACTTTAAAAGTTCAGATGGAAAACAAAACTCATAATCTATTTACTTGTAAGCCCAAAGTTTTTTGATTTCCTTCTCTCGATACAAAATAAGTTAGTTATTCCGTATTTCCAAATTATTGAGTTTGATGTGTTATTCCATATCTCTGCTCTCACAGAAGCTATTTTTGCTGGTGTTTGATTTGAGGAAGACGATTAGGGCAGAATTCAGGTACCTGAGTTCAAACGAGGATGATTCTACTCGACCGGGACATAGAAAATACCGGCTAAACACCGGCACATATGATCAGCAAGGTCAAAATCTCAGCCAAACCATGTTTAATTAACTGCCAATTTATACTGGCAAGAAATGTTATATATAATCGAGAGTCATATTTACATCTGCACGTAAACTCCTTCGGTACACGAGACTAAACGCTTTCCACATACGATCATTGGACAACCTTACAGCGTTAATCCTCTAGGCAGGAATTTGGATGAATAGCAGGACAGGAAACCACTGATACATGACGGCCGCCCTATCAAAATTATGTGCCAACTGCTTCCCTTTCCCGTTACTGACTTCAAATATGGATCAGGTAGCCTGCAAGGCATGGCTACATTGTTGAATTCTCAATCGCTTTGAGCCTATACGATGACAGTCGCAGGGAAATTATAGGGTATATGCTGCATGATGGTTAATTTACCGTCGTTTTTTCGTGCACCTAAACTGGGACCAATGGTTGCTAAGTTTGGATCATCTCTGTGCTTGCCCCAGGCTGCAGCTTTGAACTGCACGCCTGTGCATCTGAGAATTACAGGACGGGGGTTTGAATGAACAAACAATAATCAAGGCGAAGGTTATTGGACTGGACTGAATTATGGTTATCGTGGTTTGAGATAATAAGAGGTCATCATTTTGGCGAGAACAATGTCCAGCATGCAGTTCAAGCGCGTGCCATCTCAATCAGGACCTAGCTTTATCCAACGCATTCATACATTGAGACTTCACAATGTAACAAGATTAGGATAGATGGTCGTGTCATTGATCTTAGCTCTTAGTGAGGCTGTATAATAATGTGTACTGGATCAATTTTATTAACGAGAATTATCACCCGATTTTACTTAAAACTTACATCGTGAGTCATTTAGTGAATCAATACAACGCTAGCTATTTTATTAGAATCACTTTCATAGAGTTTGGGGTGGACAATTTAGTGTTTTTACTGACCGACCCAACCAAAATGGGTTGAGTTAGTTGGGTTGTAAACTCTAAAAATTAATTTTGAGTAAAAATTGGATTACCCATTTAATAAGTGGGTTGGGTTGGGTTTAAGTATTATTAATGATAGAATCCGACCTACCCAAATATCAACAATTTTAAAACATACAATAGATAGACATATACATAAAATTTAATGGTTATTAAACACACTTGTTTATTTATACTTTAGTTAAATAATGAAATTCAAATATTAACAAATAGAGACTCAACAACACCAAATTAACATTAATTAAGTCCAATATGACATGCATTTTGGATTATTTGTCATTCACGGTCACTTTAAAAACAAGAAAGAAAGTAAATAATCTCAACGCGGGAAACCTACTTTAGAATGGTTTGAGTTGATTGGTTTGTCCATTTTTTTTTTTTATGGAAATGGGTTTCAATAATGTCAATCCGAGCCAACCGAGCCTATTGGTTGGCCAACGGATTAAAATCAACCCGACCGACACACCTAATGCCCACCCCTACATAAAATAGTCTTTCGCGACTTCATCATTTTTTTTTTTTTTTTCATCTCAATTAATGTTAACTTCTGCAAAAATTCTCTCAATTTAAAAAATTATTAATCAGCAAGTGATCATTTGCCACAGTGATGAAAATATGTTGAGCACTTGCATGACGACGTGGGTTTAACCCCCTTGGTGACTAATCTAACATCTAATCCAACAAAATCTATCGTTTGAAACAAAAAAATATATCATTAATCATTTTTATTTATCAACACTTTATTGCTGAATTGTGAACATTGTATCGAATTTATTTTATCCCAATTGGAAAACAAAATACTTTTCGATTTGAGAATTCTTGTATATATAATATGAAAGAGGGCACCCAAATAAGTGATTGGTGTACTAATGCTCGAGTGCCAAATAATTTTGCAATATAAGCAATATTGATCGAGGACCTTGTTAAAACTTACTTGAGTTACAAATTTGCGGATTTTTTTTTTTTTGAAAGTACGATATTTATTGATGATTAGAAAAACATACAATTTGGGAATAGGGTGTATAGTGGGTCTCGATAAAAATCTTGTCTGGGATTTCAACTCAGTTGAAGAAAAAAGAGGGTGCCGCACTAGCAACTTAGAAGTCAACTATTCCCAATAAGTACAATAAAAAAAATTTATCACAAAGTTAACTTTCATTATGATAAAAACTAGTACAAAGCCCAAAAAGGACTGGAAAAACAACTACATGGAAAGTTAAAGGCACAAACAAAATGAGAACAGCAACCAAGATACAATGGGAGGCTCATACAAGCTTACGCCCAAAGGCATCCTAAAATAGACAATAAAAAACCCTAATCTCTAGCATCAAAGACAACATCGCCGCCACTGTCACATCCTCGGAGGAAGCCAAACTCTGAACCGAGAAAGTAGATAACATATCCAAATCCCCTTCACGAACCCCTACAAATATATACAAACAAAGTATCATACAGGTGGAGAGTGAGGCTAATGGGTATGTAAAATACCCAACACTTGGCCTCGAAGGGGATCCGACATGGACATACGGTGGGGGGGAAGGGAAGTGAAAGAGGGTAGTAGATTTGGTATCCTAAGCGGAGCCCACCTATTCGAGTACATGGTGGGATGGGGATGTAGTATCACAGCTAAAGAAGAGGGAAGACAAAAAGTTAAAAGACAGAAAGCAATAAAAGTAGGCAAAAGATGTTGGATAAGGGGCATGAAGCCCACATCTGAGACAAGCTTAGGGGATAGTTGAGACCCAGCTTAGGGAAAACTGAGATAAACTAAGGGAGAACCGGGAATAAAATGAAATAAGGAGATTGGAAATAGGAGATGAAGAGATGGATGTAAGGAGGGGGATGAAGCAAAGGAAGTGAAAGGGGAGGAAAAAGAAGAAAAAAGGCAAATAAGGGAAGGAGATGGAAGAAGGAGACTGGAAAGAGGAGGAAGTAGCAGGTTGCCGGCTACCCTGAGCAAGAGCAAAGGGTGGCGGCTGAAAGTTGAAGTCGGAGAATAGGCTATGGGTTTGGGTTTCTAGAGAGAGAGAGAGAGAGAGAGAGAGAGAGAGAGAGAGAGAACACGTATAGAGGAAGACAATTACAATCAATTTAAATCAAACTATTCGGCTTTGTCTTCCTGCAAGGTATCCGTGGTAATGCCTGGTGGTTCCTTCAACCGAGCTTATTTGCGGATTTAACTCTGCACAAACATAGGCTTATTTGTAAGTTTTTAAAATGACTGAAAATTTTTTTGATGAAAATATTTTCAAACCAATTTTTAATAAAAATTCAAGTGAATCCTGAAAAACATTTGAAGTGCTTACTGCAAAAAAACACATATCACATATCTGATGTTTTTTTTTTTTTCGTTCAAAAAACACTTAAAATACTTTTAGAAGCTAAAATTAATTTCACTAAAAGTATTTACAGTTATTTTAAAAACACTTTCAAATGTTCAAAAAACAACTATTGACATAGGCAAAATAGGTCAAGGCTAGGTTGAGTGCACGTAAGTGGATAATATTAATATCCTAGCAATAACATTAATATCCTAGCAAATAGATAGAGCATAGAAAATCCGATGTCTTTGACAATTGACACCCAAAAAGTGGTGCAAGTGGAGCATCAATGCCTCATTCTGTTTTATTTTATTTGTTGGTAACCACTTTGTCTTGTGCTGGTCAAGGCATTTTTTTTTCCGACAAATTTGTTGCTTTGTTTATCTTTGTTTTGGTTGGGAACTAAATTAGTGGTTAAATCATACACCCAATGACCAAATCACAATTATTTACTACCGTATTTGGAAACGAATTTTTAAAATTTAGAATGTTTACCGTAGCTAATGATGTGGTGCAACCACAGCCTTAGATTATATGCATTTAATTATCCTCTAAATACTTCAAACTGAAACAGATTAGCCTTTTAATTTTAATTATTTACTGGCCATTTATCTACCAATTAGCATGAACCTTGCTTGGCTCATTGTCAATGAGTATATTGGAAGGAGTTGAAGAGCTCATTTGGGACTACCTCTATAAACAACAATTATGTTCAAATTTGCTTTCAAGAAGTGTTGTTATTAAAAATCCAAGTGATTCCAAATGATCCAGGTGCTTAAAAAAAAGTACTTTCACGACGCAAAAATTTCTTTAGTTGTTTCACTAAATGCAATCAGAAGTGCTTTTGGTTACTAAAAAACACTGTCATATCATAAACAATTTTAGATAGTTCGAGTAGCCTTTGTTTAAGTAAAGTAGTTGTTATCTTCATTTGATCAGAGGAAGTCTTAGGTTTCTACCGTAATTTAAGTGAATGTGATACTTATTTATAAGAATTAGGCCATCTGAGTTTGATACCTATAACACTACTACGCAAGTGTGAGTTCAATATATGTGCGATTTATACCTTATGACCCACTACTTTGTAAGTATCACCTACAAAATTTTCAATCCGTTGTAAAAGTGTGATTCCTACACAAGCTCAGTATATTAGCATAACACTCACTTTTTTAGTCATTCTATAAAAATCGTTTGACTCATATGTATGCATAGATGATATATATTTGCGATGAGTTCGAGTCCCCTGGTAAAAAGTAAAGTAAATAGGAAGAAATTTTTCATTGTGACCGGAACACAAAGTGTACACCATGTGTTTTCATATAAGTGGGGGAATTTTTATTTTTTAACTTTTTAACTTTTTAACACACATATCTTATAATTTGTACAATGACACGTGATCTATTCCTCTGTGGACCGGTTACATTGAAAAATTTATCGCAAATAGGGGTCAATGTGTAAATTTGTAGGCAACAAAGGGCCAGAAAAGCCGCGTAAAATCGAGTAGTTGAAGCTGAACGATACAAAGTGTGTCCAGCGCGGATATTTTTATTCCTATTTATTATTTTACAACGCCTTTAAAATCTCTCATTGGATTTGGAGGGGTCTCTCTCTCTCTCTCTCTCTCTCTCTCTCTATAATTTCATCATCGTCGTCTTCTCCACTACGCTGCATCCGCTCCCTGCAAAAAGCGCTCGCCATTCGCCATCCGCTTGCCATCACACTCCTTCTGTACGGAAAAGGACCCATTTGCCCTCCTCACCCATTTCGTTTTCAAAATCTTTTCTGTTTTATTCTACCCTTTTTAATTTTCGAGATTTTTGAGCTTCACTCAGTCAGCCTTAAAGCTTCAAAGGGTACGCTTTTCTGACTCTGGAGAATTTTTATTGACTTCATTTCGTAATCTATGCTGCCAGATCTCCATTAATTTGTTCTTGCATTTGGGTGCTTTGAAGGTTGGATCAGAGAAAAAATCTTAAGAAAAAATGGGTAATATTTTTTTAAAATTTAGCTGTTTATGTTCTAAAAGTTTTAGATCGGTTTCTGGGAAAGCTGGAAAAGAGATTTGGGATTTTGGGTTTTCTGTCGATTTGTTGATAAAGTTGCCCAATTCTGTAACTTTACTGTTTTCCCTTATCTGGGTCAATGAATCTCCGTACTTTTACACATAATTTAAAGTCCTTTGCTTTCTTCTACTTTCTCGGGAAACAAACAGAGCTCGTTTGATCCTGAATTTTGTTTTGTTAAATTGTTCATTGCAGGTGGAAGGTTGAGAGGGGGTGATCTTGGTAAAAAGAGAAGAATCAGATCTAGAAGGAGATAGAATTATGTCTTTCATTGGCACCCAGCAGAAATGCAAGGCTTGTGAAAAGACAGTTTACCCAGTGGAGGAGCTATCTGCTGATGGGATTTCCTACCACAAGTCTTGCTTCAAATGCACTCACTGCAAAGGGACTTTGAAGGTACTCAACCAACCATCAATTCGGCCTCGTTTCATGCTTTCTTGGCGATTTTCGATCCATTTTGTGTGGAAGTGGAACTTAGATGCATCATTTTCATTTGATTCAAAGCAAATTATAAAGATTATCGTTTTATCGATACTTCTGACCAAATTATTTAGTATCATGGAAATGGGTGTAATGACATAAATATTGGTTAATAATCGAAAATCTTGCGTAGGAACACACATTTTACTTGCAACCTTATTCGAATATCAAATTTTGAAGATTGTTAATGGTTAATACAATACAATGGGAAAAGAAATATTTACATTTGTGTCCCAAACCCTTGCATATGAACGAACATTTGAATTTATTGACATATGAACGTATATGTTTGAAAGAGGACTCGAATAGTGAGATTTGTTTGTGCCATTGATCCGAATTCTGTTCAATTTAAGATATGTAATATATGGAGTTGTTTATGGAAGTTTCTTCTTGTTTCTAATGTTTTGTAATATTTTGTCTTTAAAGCTGAGCAATTATTCCTCAATGGAAGGTGTTCTGTACTGTAAGCCTCACTTTGAGCAACTTTTCAAGGAGACTGGCAATTTCAACAAGAACTTTCAGTCACGTATGTCTTTCTCTTTTTCCTGATGAAACCTTCTTTGATGTCTCTGCATGGTTTGTTGTTTACTGTTTTAATCTTCTATAAATTTAATTTGCAACAGCTGCAAAGTCAGCTGAGAAGTTAACTCCAGAGCTGGTAAACTTCTCTACATCGCTGTTATAAACTCCATTTTTTAGTAACAGAATATTCTTATACTATCAGTTAGCGGCAACACTGATTCTCAAATGTTTGTGTTTGGTTCAGACTAGGTCACCTAGCAAAGCTGCTAGCATGTTTTCTGGAACACAAGACAAATGTGCTACTTGTGGTAAAACCGCTTATCCACTGGAGAAGGTAGGATCCCAAGATATGTCTTTTGTTGATAATTTTTCTTTCGACTATTCTATTTTTGCTTTCCCGTTTTTGTCCCAATCAAAAATGAATTGGTTGGAACTGGCACTTCGTTGCTTTGATATAAGTTGAGCACATGTTCTATGTAATATTCCTAATTATAATCAAAGGTGTTTGAGGGTCCACGAATTTCACATGACCTCCATAGTAACAAATGAGTTCCTCTTCAATAATTATTGGAAGAAAATGAACTTTTTTCTCATATAACTCACAAAAATATGAAAAAAACCCCATGAAACTAATTTGAGTGTATTGAACCAAAATTTTGCAGGTGACTGTGGAGAGCCAGGCCTATCACAAGTCGTGTTTCAAGTGTTCTCACGGTGGCTGTCCTATTACTCCCTCAAACTACGCGGCTTTGGAGGGCATTCTATACTGCAAGCACCATTTCTCCCAGCTTTTCAAGGAGAAGGGGAGCTACAACCATCTTATTAAGTCTGCATCAATCAAGCGCACAGCAGCAGCGGCGGCGGCAGCAACAGCAGCAGTAGCCTCGATTCCAGAAGCATAAATTCTGTGTTTAAATGTTCGATTACGTGGCTTTCGTTTGTGTGTTGTATTCCTCTTCAACCTCATGCTTTTCCATGGCGGAGTGAGCAAACTTGGTACTTCTCTATTTTATTTGGCTCATCAATCTTGGGCACATTGTTGTGTTTTGCTTCCTGTATGTGATTCTTGGTCCGGCGGTTGTAAAAAGACCTTCAGGGCTTTGTTTCCAGTAAGTTCATGTTGTCACTATTTTTCTCGGCATTTGGCAAATATATGAAAGAGTATCATCTTCGTTTCATTTTCCTGCTTCCCTCACACCCGAAATTTTTTCAGTGTGACGGTCATGTGGTGTTACAATTCCACCATATCTAATGTATAAGTAGATTGCACATTCTTATTATAACATGGGGAATGATAATACCATATGATGGCTGATGGCTGTGCGTACGTTAAGAGTCAAGAATTTTTCTGCGTGCTCTTACCATCGGCGCTCACCCCGTTCCTTCATCTGCTGAAAAATATTGTAATGGGCTTTTCTTGTCCCGTTCCTTAACTTGTCTTACGTTCTTCACGTAGCATTCAGACGGAGGGCTCGTCTGAGATGCAAAGTACCAAATTGTGAAATTCTGAATGGTTTTGTTTTTCATTGATTCAATAGAAGAAATGTTAATAACAGACTCAATCTGTGGAGACCAATTCTACAACCCTTCTGCTGAAAGAAAAAAAAAATGATGAAATGATGCTGATTTTCCTCCGTAATACTAGTCACTTATTAAGTTTCCTACTTTTCTCGACTTATCCTGCATTGTTTGCTGATACAAATGGAAGCCATGCACGTACTCAGGCTTCCAGGGGTAAAATAAAATTTGTAGAGGCAAGATCCCGGCACCAACTGCTCGCATGTACCCCCCAACCATGCCTCCAGGACGGCCACTGCTGTTCTCGCAGTACAAAATACAAAACGCAGGGCATTTCACTTGATGCTTTCCCGGAACTATGATTTACTTCGTTTCTTGGCTTCGCTGTATAGGATCACTCCAAAGACTGTAAGAGTGTAACCCATCATTCCAGTCACGGAAACTGGATTTCTAAAAATTAATATCGAGACCACCACAGCTACAGCTCCTTTAGCATTCCCTAGAACCTGGATAACCAAACGTTCCGTTAGTTACTTGCAACAGCTCCTTTCACATTAAAGGAAACAACGAAGCAATTTAGAAAAATACGGTAAACACCAGATTTTATCATGATCATTTCGTTTTTTCATCACGTCAAAAAAAAACACTAGCCAACATAGCCACGCGAACATATGAATGGACATCCTCTTGTCCTACTAGTGACTTCAATCTAACGCACCTGGTCCTAGATTATAAATTCTGCCATGGTATAATGTTCACAGCCCCATATAACTGGCTATTTTCCAGCAGGTGACATCCTTCAACACGCACCAATAAACCATTATTTCTAACCCCATAAACAGAACTAGTCCCTATAAGATTAGGATGACTCATCCTATAAGCAACAAAATCCTATTAGTTTCACCAACTTAAACCATGAAGACAGAACTCCCTGCAACTTCAGTACTGCCCAAACTGTAACTGTTATTCATGAAATCTTCTAAATGCTAGAACATAACAAGCGTTAACAGCATTTAAAATACATTTTGATTAACAATTAAAAAGATGCTACATCAAGAAGGGAGACAAACCTGAAGAGTTAGAGCACTGGTGTGCTTTGTGACCAAAAAGTTGGTCAGATTTACAAAATATGCCAACGTCGAATTGAATAGTAGGTACCATATGATCTTGACATCATCTCTTGCAAGAGCTAGTGTTATACCAACAACATTTTCTTCCATGATAAGCGTTGCGGGAAGTAAAAAAACAACGGCTATCGGAGCCATATACAGAAGGAGGTTCATAGAATTCAGCTTCTCCCTGGAATATAAAGGCAAGTCATTCAGTACCCATTCAACCATATAGAGAATGATAGAGCAAACACATAAGGATTCCTTACCCTTCAGAAGAAAGCAAAATCCCTTGTAGCACTGATTTAAGCGCCCTGGCGGCGGTTGCTGCTATGCATATTAAGAAACCAAATAAATGGAAACTTGGTTCACCCTGCGGCCATGTAAAAAGAACAAACTATGAGATGCATGCATATTAAGAAACCAAATAAATGGAAACTTGGTTCACCCTCGGCCATGTAAAAAGAACAAACTATGAGATGCATGCATATTAAGAAACCAAATAAATGGAAACTTGGTTCACCCTGCGGCCATGTAAAAAGAACAAACTAGGAGATGCATTGCTCCGGTCAAATTGAAGGCTCCACATACGTTTGCACAATCTCACAACTTTACACAGAAATATATCAGATCTCAGGTAGATACTTAAAACCTCAGGTCCAAAAATTCATCTTTCCTTTTGGTTTTGATAGATCTTCTCACAATAGTTTTTCTCTAAACTATGGACAGTTAAAACCAATTGGAGTTATAAACAACCGAATTGGCGAAAAATGCCACCAATCCATCCCAACCCATATCCCACAATTCAGACTAGTCTAAGCAAAGTTGCTCAATTCCCATCCAAAGCAGCTCATACCAAAGCAAACCCATTTCCAGAATTCACAGCAATTCTCAATAAAACACATGAATTTGCATTAAACAAAGCAAAAATTAACAGAAAAGGAAGAGGGCTCATACCCCACTTGCAATGACGACTCCTGTAACAACAGGAACGAGGGTGAGATACGTGAGCCAAGCCTCCTTTTTGAGAGTCATTAAGTAGGCGAAAACCGCAGTGAAGAACGGCGTGGTGGCGCCAATTGCCTGGTTAAACGACACGGGCAAATACCGCAGCGAAATGTTCCCAAACACGACGGAGACACAAAACACCAGGCTGAGCGCCATGATCTTCAAGAATTGGACCCGGGATCGAATGGTCTGCATCGGAACCATCTTCATCCAAGCAATTGCGACGTAGCTGAGCAGAGAGCAAGCCGTCATGTGGCACATGGTGAGGAAGATCGGGTACTTGAAGCCATAGTTGCTGAGCAAGTACTTGTTCAGCAGCAAAACCCCAATGTTGGATGAGTACCAGGCGGTGACGAGCCCGATCGTGAACAAGCGGCTCTTCCCCTTCATCTTCCGAGGCGGGTCTCGATCGGACGGCTGAGATTTGGGGAAAAACCCAGAATGCGTTAAATTCAGGTGGGGGTGGGATCTGCTAGGGCTGGGGCATTGGCGAAAACCCAGGTGCAGAATGAAGAATTGGGTTATGTAGAAACATGAGTCGGCCTCCCATGGATCTGAGAATCTAGGTCCATCGAAAAGACTGCGAATTTATTGAGGAAATTGAAAACGAAAAACAGCAGGAAATATTGGGGATTCTGAGATGCCGACGGAGAAAGGGAGAGGGAAGGAGGTGGGGGAGTTGGGTCTGCGTTGGAATTTAGAGAGAGGCTGCGTCGTTGGGTCAGAGTTTTGAGGACGACCGACGAGGAATGTGCTTCTTCTGCAAATAGGGGAGGGGATTACAGGGAGAGAGAGAGAGAGAGAGAGAGAGAGAGAAGGGAGAGAGTTTTAAAGCAGAGAGAGAGGTAAACGCGTACGCGAGAATTCACTTCGTTTATTCTTTTCTCCTTTATTTGTCAGTAGTTTAATTAGTTTTTTTTTTTTGTTTTTAAATTTTAATTAGTTTTTTTTGTTTTTAATTTTTAATTAGTTTTTTTTGTTTTTAATTTTTCTATTTTTCTTTTGCTGTGAACTGAAAGGAAAGTGGACTTTGACTATATTCAGTTTTTAAAATTAATTGTATGAACTTAATTTTAATGGTAACTTATTAATGAATTGAATAATAAAACAATACCTTTCTTCATTTTCTCCCAAAGTATTTTGACTTTTAAAAAAAAAATGACAAATCTATAAAATACTTTTTCAAAGAGTTGTGAACTCACTTGTATCAATATTCAGAATCTAACTAATTATAATTATGTATCATCATCGCATTTATGTGATTCAGACATGATATTTTTACTAATTATCTTAGACGAATATCTTTATTTTTTTAAGAGAAAGTCAGTAATCTTCTTTTTTGTCCAGTCGAATAAAGAAATTAGAAAGCAAATAAAGAAATTTCATATTTAATATTTATTAAAGTATTATTTTTTATTATTGTTTTAAAGAGAAGGAAAAGATGTGTATGGGAACTACGTATACGACTTGGAAGTGTGCCGTAATAGCCGGTCCGTATAAATGGGGAAATTCTCAACGGCCGACGCACTTATTTTATTTTATTTTCTTTTGATTGGTTGAATACAAAATTAAAAGATTATGTTAGGCCACATCGCAACATCAAAATTCCAGTCCAATTTTTTTTTAAATACTTGTTCGAATCTGGCCAGCATTTTTATTCTTTTCGAGCTGTTAGAGAATTGGATCATCATTCATGCAAACGACTAAGTAGCAGAAGATTATTATTTTAATTAGTGGTTGGGTACCCTTCAAATCTACTTGACTTGATCATTAATCAGATGCTTCTTCTTGTTTCTATTTCTCTTTGGCATTTTAGTCAAAATTATAATCGAGATTGATACAACTCTCCACTTTGATCTTTAACATTTGAAATCTATAAAAGTGGTCTCTAAACTTGTCCACTATCAATTATTTTGAATCTTCCGTTAAAAATCTTTGTTAAATAAGAACTAAAATGACAAAATACTATTAATTTCGTAAACAATGGACCAAAATAATTTCACAAAAATTATGAGTAGTTTTGTCAATTTGATCTTATTTAACGAAGATTTTTTATAAAATAATTAAAATAATTGACAATGAATAAATTCAAAGACAAAATATTTGATGAAAATTACTTGCTTGCTTTAATGATTACATTTATCACTTGTATTAATGATGTGTGTACCTTCCTTCCTTTTTTACTTTGAAATTGCTTTGGTGGAATGCATGTACCAAAAATGGGAGCTATAAATTTTTGGTGGGGCACTGTATTGTTGTGTATTTGCACACAGTGTAAATGGTTCTTGTTGTTTCTTCGGTTTATCGATCACATATCTCACATATGTTGAACCGAAATTCACCCACATAAAAAAGACGTAGTCTTTAATGTAGTCAGTAAAGGTAGTATATACAAGCAGCATGAAGATAGCGGCAGAGAGAGTCAGTGGCAACCTCGTAAATAAAGTGAAATTCGATTCTAAAGACTATTCATTTGTACAGTGCAATTGAAAAGCTTTCTTTAGACTAATGTAATGCGTAACAATACTCATAAATCTTTAATAATAAAGAAAAATAATGAAAAGGATTTGAAAACTTTGAGTTTTAACGATAAATACAAAATAAAAGGTAAATTGAATAGTACCAGGATTGACTTTTTAGTGTAAAAATATGTTTTTTTTGTTAAAGTGAACAGTATCAGAAACTTTTTGTTAAAATTATTATAATAATAATGTGAGAATATTGTATTTAAAACCACGTTACATGACATGTAATGTTTCGCTTATCAGTTGATCATAATAGTTAATGTAATAAGCAAATTTCATCTCCGCCAAATAAGCAGTTTAAAAGCGCCTCTAAAGGTAATTAATGTAGCATTAGTTAACCTTTAGCTTTAAGTAAATTGAGAAGAGAGTCCTAACCTTATCATCTGCCCATGAAAAAGAGACCGGTTGGCCTTCAGCTACCTCTTCAAAACGTTCACTACTAGCGGCTGCTTCTGCTGCAGCTGCATTTGTTTTCGACTCAACGATCCGAAGGCTTCTGCCTCCGAAACTTGTGATCGATAGCGAAGAACTGCTCGTACTCGCATATCGTCTTGAAGAACAGAGGAGCACTGATTTACTCCACGGCTTTGCACCACCTGCAAAAATTCCCAGAAATGTCAAAAGCCTTCCCCAAATTCACAAATTTATGCCACTCTGTTTGGAATCCGAGAAAGTGCTGGGAAAATACAAAAGATAATCCAAAACCACGATCTGGGTTCTGATCAGATTACCAAATCACACAACACGTCTTAAGTTCTCAGTGACTCTTGCTCTACTTTTCTTCCCTTTTTCTCTCAACATTTTCTCAGCAACCAAACAGCAGAATCCAGAATCCATTTGTTCAAGCCCCAAGAACTTTAAAAACAAATCTGGGCAGCTAATTAAGAAGGGGGGGGGGATTAATTAAGAGATCGAAACATACAATTACAGCTGACGGGAACAAGAGGAGCTGAAGCAGTCAAAGCAGTCTGTGCCATCGAAGAAGTTCAAAAAAATACACCAAACTCCGATGAGTGCTGTTTGTTTGGGTGTAAAAAAATTTAGAAAAAACAGATTAATCAAGTCGTTTTAATCTGTTGATTTGAGCAAGTTATTGTGCATCCAAACATGGCTGGCTACCTGCAACTGCGAAGCTGCAACCAGAGTTGTTGGGGTTGAAGCTAAAACGAAAGCTAAACATGGCTTTGACAAGCAAAGTTCAGATAGCCGAGAAAGGAGTATATTCTGCTTCCGATTTACCATTGGTCTGGATGGAAAAGGGAATATCCGTAATAATATCATACAGTCCAATCCGGACCTTCCGTGTAGGAATTAGTCCAGGTTCACTCATTTGTCTGGATTTTGAGGGAAAAAGATGGTCAATGACACCCTCATCTTGTAAACTAAAACATCACATAGGTCGACATCATCCTTGCCGTGGAGCTCAAAATATCTTTAGATGGAAATTTTTTAGGCGAAACGATGGCTGTTATGTTTACGATTATCGATTTAGTGTAAAACTAAGTTATCGTGAGGCTTAACTCATTCTTTCATATTCTTAATGTACATAATATTGTTTGTTCAAAAAGAAAAATATGATCAACACACTTTGTCTACTAATAAGGAGTGAAAGTCATTTACAAATAATTTAATCACCATCACATCATTACACACGCAGAGGCGGATGCACGCTGGAACTTAAGTGGTCCCAGGACCATTTAAAGTTCAGAAAATATAAATGTGAAGGTCTAACGAGGATCCTCCGAAGGTTTTGTATGGGTCCCTTTGTAGCTTATACCTACTAATTGTTTGATGTAATATATGTTAGGCGTATCTTGATAGGTTGCGTGGACAACATTCAACAAATTCTCTCGATATCACTCATTTGACAAAATGCCTCAGTGAATAAACTGATTTTTTTTTTGTTTGCGCTCTTCACACTTATTCTATCTAAAAAACTTGAACTTTTAACACAGACCACTCAAGATTCGAATCCTAGATCTGCCACTAAATACACGCGTCAAATGCTAGCATATTCCAAGGTTTTATACTTGAGAAGAAGTTGGATAAAGAGTTGAGACGATGTGTTGGGAAAATATAATTTATGTAGAACTAGAATTCATCTGTATTTTTTCTTTTCTATCTTTTTAACTCTAGTCTTGACTCGTATTTTTTAAGGAAAACTAATGAAAAAAGTTTGAAAATTTTGAGTTTTAATGATAAGGACAAAATAAAAGGTAAATTGAATTGTACCAGGATTAACTTTTTAATTTAAAAATGTGGTTTTTCGTTAAAGTGAACAGTACCGTAGATTTTTCGTTAAAACTTCTTATTTTTTATCGTTTAAGTAAAAATTAGTTTGGTCAATTAAGCAAATTAATTAAGTATTAGCAGCCGATCTTAAGAAAAGCCCGAAAAGGTTAAGGAAGAGATTGCCATAAATTTAGGCCATGTGAAGGAATAAGGCGCCATGCAAGGACCAAGCAATATTTATATAATTCTAGTGATTTGGAAATATTATTATTATTTGCTGCACTTGCACGATCCAAGGTCCAGGTGTATGTGCTGCCAAACTTACGGATATTCTAAGGGATGGGGGGATGTGTTATGCGCATATTTTTTTTTATTTTTTTACCCATTTTTTTATTTGTTGCCATTAGATCGAAAAAATGAAAGAAAATATAAGAACAGAAACTAACAAAGAGCACATGAGAATTAAACGTGGATAGCACATCCCTATCCCTAATCGTAATCCCTCCCTGGTCCCTGCCGCTTCATTCGTTCACAACTACAACTTTAGGATTTTGGAATTCGGGGCTCATCCGCCGGATGTTCGATTGCCTCAAAATATAAAGGTAAATAAAATAAAAATTGTTTATCCTTGCATCTTAACTATCTGTGTCGAATCTCTCACTCGGTTAATGTCGCTTATACATAATAAAATGTAAGATATGTATATTTGAATCAATAAATATTGTCACTATTTGTTGAATAAGTTTTGACGTTAGTAGCCATGTTTGACAGAAGGAGAATTCTCTCCCCTCGTATTATCATCCACTTCTCTCCCTTCCTCTCACATATTGTTTTTTGTCTTAGACCATCTCCAAATGAGATGTCAAATTTTAAACCTAAAATTTAAATTTGAAGGCTTACATGATACTTTGACATCTTTTAAATTTTTGTTCTCCAACCGATATGTCAAATTTTAAACATAAAATAATAATTCATGTACTTTCTTTGCATTGGGAATAAAAATAAACAAAAGGATAATGTTTTAAACTAATAAAAAATTAATAAAAAGCATTTAATAATTAATTAAAAAAAATCTGAAGGTGCTGTCAAATTTGGCAGCCATGGAGAGATGTGAATCCATGTCATGCCATATCAGATTGGCTTCTCAGTTAGAAAATATTAATGCTGTCTTTTGTTACCGTTATTACTGATTTCAACAATTTGACATCCCTTGGAGATAATCATATTGTCACTATAAAAATTAATATAAAATATTAACATAACTAAACTGTAACCGTTTAAATAGAAAAGAATGAAATGAGAGAAAGATTAAAGTGGAAAAAAATCTTTCTCGTGTTTGACAAATCAATGTAAAAAATGATTAAACACGGGTAAAAGTTAAATTTAGATGAGGTTAGTTACTTTTGGATTGTGGGGGCCGCTTGACTGGAAATTGAGCTGCAGGGAGGCCCTTGCCATTTGGCGCCCTCATCCTAGTGCACGGATTTGGATCCTTGCCGGATCCCCTTCGTGGGTATCCTAGGATCAAGAAACACGGATTGTTGATTAAAAATTATGTGGTCATAATTTTTTTTATTTTTTATATTTTTTAAGTAAAACAAGGCTTCTTTACTTTTAAAAATATAAAAAAAAAATTAATTGAAGCTGTACAATTTTTTATCAACGGTTCGTATACGTTGATCCTTAAGATCCCTAGAGAGGGGATTCGGCTAGGATCCAAATCCCTAGTGCACATTCATTACTCCAAGAAAAATGGGATTAGTTTACCTAATTTATATGGACCTGGTTTAGTCAAACTCAGTTATTAATCCACATTATTTGTCTACCGACCTCGACCATAAGTTATGGCCAACGAATTCAATTTTTTCCTGATAACTTATAAAATCAACATCAACACATATTTGATTCATTAATTGTTGAGTTTAATTCAACAGTCTTCAGTCATTCAGTTTAAACTGTTGGATAAAATTCAACAATTATGTGTCCATACTAAATGCCTATAGGTATTGAAGTCTATTCGAATGTGTCGTCGTTAAGTGTCTATGAGTAACTTAATCGTAACTTATTAGCATGTTAAAATCGTGATTATGTGTCACTCAGTACTATGGTCTAGTAGTATTCCTCTTCACTTGTAAGTGAGAGGTCTTAGATTCGAATCTCGTGAATGGCGAATTTGATACCAAATTCGGTTACTTATTGTACGACTTAGCCGAACTCTTCCCTCCTCTTAGTGTAAAATATATCATTGTACTAAAAAAAAAAAAAATCATGACTAGGTATGAGAGAGAGTAGTTTGATGGGTTACTTAGGACATGGATCATGAGCTAAAAAGTGAATGTGAAAGCTTAAATCTTACAATTAGGATCATGTGGGTTGTGAATGTGAGAAGCGTAGTTCATGCATGTGCGTATCGTATGGTTTAAAACAACTTTTACATCACATGCCACTTAATTACAAACGAAACCAAAGCAAATCTACACTTTTGACGTTTCGCATCCACGAACCATGTTCACAACAATTGGTTTTTAACTTACAAAACCAAGGCCAATACGACCTCAATAGCAAGTTAAATCGCAACACCTTTTGTGCCTTTCCTTTCAGCATTTCTCGGGCATCGGAGGCGGGCTTTCCTTCGAAAGTTTTTTCATTCCCTTCGATAAATACACATATATAGAAACAATAAAGAGAAATACGCACAAATGGTTGATTAAATATCGATTGTCATCACAACAAATTATTTCCAGGCAATATGAAAGTGACCAGTGAGGCAAGATGAGAGAAGAATGCCGATATCTGACAACTCCCACCGGAATTGAAACAGAATGATTTCCACTCCGGATTTCTGTTTCCTGAGCTCACGTACCCAAGAGACCTCCAACATTCAAGAGAGAGATCAGGACTGTTCAAATTTTGAATCCTTTTTAAAGATCTGGAGTGTCAATCCGGATGAAACAAACAAGACAACTCAAAAAATAAACATCGAAATTTCAACTAGAGAGACCACGAACGAAGACTAGGTCGCAATCAGTCTAGATTAAGTATCATTTGTTCCCTCTAACTTGAATATATCAAATTACCAATTCATATTTTAAAACAGATCTAATTTGAGAAAAATAGCCAACAAGACTTGCTTCATTCAAAACTTCAGACGCTCAAATAATGAATCTTCAAAACATAATCGAAATGGTATAATATGCATTAAAATTAGTAAAGGAGTATTAAAACAATGTTCTACCATCCGAACAACAAAACTGACTCGGTTTCAACCAAACACATCTAACTTCGCTCATAAAAACCATGTGAAAGTAGACCCCTTCAAGTGTCTGTTCTCTATCATCTAGAAGTCCTGAGCAACTGCAAGGAAGAAATGAGCATGAGCTTAGAACCAGGGTAAGAAGAATATGCTATAGAAGCAATACAAACTGCGGGCTGAGCGCATAGTTGCACAAATAGTCATATGAAGATGGATGTAACAAGTGCATCATGACTACAAGACGTTAAAACATGGAGCGAGAAACAAAAAAGCGATATACGAATTGCTGCCAATCAAATTTCTTGACATCCTCTAAAATTACAAACATGGAGCTTTATGATTAAACACCCCACATAATTCTGATTACAAAGCAAAACTTTCATCGTGGACGGATAAATTTGCAATCCCTATATAAGCTCATATACTGAATTTGTATCCCATAGAGACAAGAAATGCATGAGCATAAAAAAAAATGTCGTGAAACAGCCCAATGGAAGAAACCCAAAAGATAAGTGAATAGTTATACAATGTATCCAATATCAGTCAACAATTGGAATGCAAACAATCCAAAAGTTCGGAGTCAACTGAAA